ATCTGGCTGTGATGTGCCTTGGAAAAGATCATCTTGGGTTTATTCTATGTGGGGTCCTTTGTATTTCTTGGCTCTGGATCTTTGAATGCCTCCCTAGGTTTGTAAAGTTTTCTTCCAGGATTTCATGAAATAGATTATCCATGCCCATATTAATCTCTTCACCTTTTGGGATACTGATTATCAGGATGTTTGGACGTTTAATAGTATCTACTGTTTCTCATTATGTTATTCTCATTTTGGGGGTTATTTGTCTCTGTCTTCGTGGTGGACTTTTTCGAGGCCCACAATTCTATCTTCTACATCTGAGATTAAATCTTCTATATGATCTAGTCTGCTTTTAAAACTTTCAAGGGAGGTTTTGATTTCCTGTATTACAGCCTTCATCTCTTAACAGTTACATTTGATTCTTTTTTGTGATGTGTATTTCCTCTTTCAGATCGTGCAAGAACTACCTCACTTCCTGGAACTCATTGTTTTTTTTTCTCCTGCCTCTTCTAGAGTTCATTGTCTCTCTTCTCTTGCATCTTTGTTAGCTTTGCCACTATGAATATTCTAATTCTTTATCAGACATTTCCATGAATTCCGTTGTACTATCTGTGGGTAAAGAGGAGTTTTTCTTTTCCCTTGGAGGAGAAATATTTTCCCAGTTTTTCCAATTTCTTGTACCCCTGGAGTGATGTCTGGTCATCTGATGGGTTATACATATACATTCCTTCCTAATTTCTTGAAGTTCAACCTGAGCATTCAGAGATATGCAGGAGGAAGTGATCTGCAATCTCTCTGCCATTCCGTTTTTCTCCCTTTGTGCATCAGATTCAGTGGGAATTGAGGAATATTCTGACCCTAATAGTATTCAGATGTTTGGCTATTGTTCACTTAAACCTGTCTAGATTCTCAGTGTGTGGAGGCTGAACAGCAAAATGATGAAGGGAAAAGAAAAAGGGAAAGAAAACAGGAAGAGGAAAAAAAACAATAAAAGACAATTAAAAGTTTTCTTTTTAAAAAAATAAAATATGAAAATTGTATGGCATGCTTGTGCCTTAAATCTTTTTTTTTTTTTTAATTAAAAAATTAAAGCAAGAGATGGGCCGGCAGGGGGCGGGGCGCTCACCGCCCCGACTCTCGCAAGTCCCGTTCATGGCGGCTTGCTTTCTCACTTTCTCTCTCTCTCTCACTCACTCTGCCCTCTCTGGTCAAATTAAAATAAGTAAATAAAGTTAAATAAAATTTTTTTTTTAAAAAAAAGGTAACTATGAACTAGAGGCAATTTAAAATAAATTAGCATTTTTTAAAAATTAAAGCAAGAGAGACAGAGAGAAGGATACAAAGGCCCTAACACTATCTAGATTGGGGTCTGGAGGGTGAAGTCTCAGCAGAAAATCTTCAGTAGTCAATCTTATTCCTGAAAGTAATTTTTTTTTTTTTTTTTGGAGAAGTTTTCACTATAGAGCACGTGCACTAGCCAGACAGACAGAGACACAGAGACAGAAAGCGGGAAATCACCCCCCAGGGGGATGGTCATGCCGCAATCCCTTTTCCTCCATTCTCCTCTCGGGATCTTGGGCACGCACGCACACACGCCCGGCGTAAGTTTTAAGCCACCGGGTCCGGGATGCGAACCGCGGTCGACTATGTGGGAGTCCAGCGACATAGCCGTTACGCTAACTGCTGGTTCCCCTTGAAAGTAATTTTTCACAGCTCAAGTTCAGTAAGCATCTCAGAAGATCTGAGGGTTTTTTTTTTTTTGTTTTGTTTTTTGGAGAGGTTTTTCGGTATATGGCACGTGTGCTCGCCAGACAGACAGAGAGAGACATAAAGACAGCGAGAAATCACCCCCCAGGAGGGATGGTCACGCCGCAGTCCCTTCTCCTCTATTCTCCTCTCAGGATCTTGGGCATGCACGCACACGCGCCTGGCGGGAGTTTTAAGCCACCGGGTCCGGGACACGAACCCCAGTCGACTACGTGGGAGTCCAGTGACATAGCCATTATGCTAACTGCTGGTTCCCCTTGAAAGTAATTTTTCACAGCTCAAGTTCAGTAAGCATCTCAGAAGATCTGAGTTTCTACCTCTCTACTTTCTAGATTGGGATCTGGAGGGTGAAGTCTCAGCAGAAAATCTTCAGTAGTCATTCTTATTCCTGAAAGTAATTTTTCACAGCTCAAGTTCAGTAAGCATCTCCAGGCACATGCACTTTCCAGAGAGAGGCAGAGAGAAATCATCTAGGGGAAATGGCCATGCTGCTGTCCCTTCTCCTCCATATTCCTCTTGGAATTTTTGGTATGCACACACACACACTTGGCATGATTTTCAAGCCACTAGGTCCAGGACTCGAACTGTACAGTTAGCCATGTGGGATCTAGCCACCTTAACCTCCGTACCACCTACTGGCCCCAGCAGCATTTTTTTACCCCTTTTTCTTTTTTTAAATTTACATTTAATTACTGTCAGGAAAGTCAAAGAGTGTTATTCTTTTTTTGGGGAGAGGTTTTTGCTGTAATGCGCGTGCGCTCGCCAGATAGACAGAGAGAGACAGAGAGACAGAAAGTAAGAAATCACCCCCCAGGGGGGATGGCCACACCGCAATCCCTTCTCCTCTATTCTCCTCTCGGGATCTTGGGCACGCACGCACACACGCCCGGTGTGAGTTTTAAGCCACCGGGTCCGGGACGCGAACTGCGTACCCACCATACTCACCTGACTTGCCCTGTCAGACCCACCTGTTGCGCTCTCTTCAAAACTCTTTGGATGGTGTAACATTCAATTCAGATGAGGCTGTAAATCAGCATATTGTTCAGTTTTTTGCTGATCAAGACATGTCCTTCTATGAACAAGGAATTATGGAGCTCCCTGAAAGATAGCAAAAGGTTATCAAACAATACAGGCGATAAATCATTGATTGATCTTTGTTCTTTATATAAATAAGTGACCTTTGAAAAACAAAAAATATGTCATAACTTTTCCTACAACCGTATATTTGACCTGGTAAAAGTAGCCAATTGAACATAAATTTCTGTGACTCAAAAAAATTTTTTCCCAATTTATCATTGCTATTTCCTGCTAGGACAACAACCCAGAATTTGAAAGTGTTGGAAAAAATGTAAATAAAAATACAAATCTGCATTTAAATTTTGTTAATATAAAAAAATCAAAGGGAGGGAACCAGCAGTTAGCGTAATGGCTATGTCGCTGGACTCCCACGTAGTCGACCGCGGTTCGTGTCCCGGACCCGGTGGCTTAAAACTCACGCCGGGTGCGTGTGCGTGCGTGCCCAAGATCCCGGGAGG